TTATAATAAAATATCATATGTTGATTAGTTCTAATAAATTTTTAATGCTCCAAAAATAATTATTTCAATTTTTTAAAATTATCCCCCTCCCATTCTCCACGTAGAAAATTGCTGGTTACAAGACTGCTCCAAATGCAATAACAAGTGTACTCAGTGTTAATGATGTCTGGAGTTATAATATGCACACCACAAATGCACTAATACAATATATTTTTTATCTATGAATATTTACTAACATGATCATTTACAGAAGTGACTTCTGAAAAACGAATAGTAATTTGAAAATAAATTATAAAAATAGTCCATGGGCAAAGCAAGGATTCAATAAAAGATGATGTCCGTTGAAGTAATTGGCGCAAATTGTAAAAAATGTTTTTGTTTATTTGCACCAAAATTGAAGTTAATGAGAATTAACTTATTCTATTAGTAATTAAAACCATATTTGAAATATATTGGTTTTATATTTGCAATGGAATAGTTCTTGCAAATTGAAGCGCTTTATTTTACGTTAGAGGTAAAAGAATGTTTTTAAATTGGCATCGCGTTTTTGCCTTAAAAGGCACAAAATTGTTTGTTTTTTATATTTAAAAAAATACTTCTTTAATTTAAATGGTTAATTTAAAGCTAAACGCTTCAATTCAATTTGTAAGCACTATATAATGAGTGTTGTTGTCCTAAAAATTGCGGCGGGGCACCTATTGCTCTAAAAAAATTGTAGGGAGCACGCTAAAATGGGCAAAAAATAGGGACAACTTTTTGTTTTTCCAAAAATGTGAGGAAACTGTATAATTTGATATAGTCTTATTACTAGAATTATTGGAATTAGTATCCATTAACCTATTTTGTATATTTCTATTATAAGGAAGTAATGAATTGATTTTCGTTGATATCAGAGTGCCTTCTGTTTTTCTTCAATATTACTAATCCAAAAATATTTATTTCCCTAGCTTCTTGAGCGATTTTTATATGTTCCCCTATAGGAATGTTAAATAAGCATTCATTTAGAAATTAGAGAGATTTAGAACCTACCAGGCATATCCAAAGAATTTAAAAAATGAATAGTTCGCTTTATTGATTTTTTTTCAACTGTAGATAAACTGATTCTTACTGTCTGAAGCCTCAAATTGGATAATTCATATAGAATGTATTATATCAAGGCGAGATTTAACAAGAATTCACCACTTTTTAATAAAGTGAACAGCCCGTAAAATTTTGCACTGATGATAGAATTTGCCGAATTTTTAAAATCGTATATATGGCTTCATAGTTATTCCAAACTGCCTTAACTATATATGAAGATGCCCATATATCCGCGGTATATCAATCCAATCTTCAGCAACTGAATCCCTAATACTGATTCTATTTGATCTAAAGTCTTTTGATTTTTGTTAGATTGACTATATTAACTGTATATTGGGTCATTAAAGGTTTAAAGTGATTAACACCTGTAACACATTGGAACCGCTAATTACAAACTGTGATTTAAACATTCCAGGGTATGATCGTTGGGTATAATGTGCAAAGGTGTGGCTACACCAGATTTCTTCCCAGTCATGATACTGGCTTCAGGACTAACAAAAGAAATTCTTTTTTTCAGCAGATTTAAGAAAATCTAGTAGGGTAGAACAATCTCCTCTGCATCTTTTGATTCCAGTTCGATCAGGTCTGGAAATATAAAAATAGGTATATCAAAAGAGGACCCCAATACTGATTTTAAATAAATAACCACGGTTTGCTATATTTAACTTAGATTTATCTATCAGAATAGCGATTTTGAATTTTAAATTGATAATATATTTACAATTTTCATATGCATTTTTTCATATGTATTTCTTTGAAAATGCTTTTATTTATTAACAAACCAGAATGCTTAGAATACAAAACGTATCTCATATCTAAACCATTGTGCTTTTGTAAATCTATTAACGATTCAAAATCTACAAACGGGGATTTGTTTTTGCAAGATAATTTGCATTATTAAATTTTGCAGTATATTTTTATATTTTGTTATAGCCTTTTTCAGAAGCTTTGTGTGCATCTGTTAGCAATTTTTTTTTACCCAAACATCATAGTTTACATATTCTGTCTTGTAAATAATTGCTATCAGTGGCGTAGCCAGAACTTATGTAGCCAAGCAGCCAGAATAAATGAAAAATTATTAGTAACAAAAATTGGCCAACTTTACGACGCTCCTGATTCAGACATGACAGGATTTTCACTGGATGCAAATCCAAAACCTATGCCTACCTCCCTAAAAAATTTTCGCCTCCTTCGGCGCCGATGTTTTCCTATTATTAATTACACCTTTTTAATTATAATGATACTCCTTTCAGAAATTTTAAAATGAATAACTTAAATTATTTTATCTCTACTACCACTATCAAAATTTTGTGAATATATAGGAGTTATTTTTTAGATAATGTAATGAATTCAATTAAAAACCCCCTCATTTGCAATGAATGAATGCATTCATTGAAATGCAGAAAGTTTTATTTGGGAAATAATGTCTATGATTGTATGCAATATATAGATTTGATCGATGATTAGCAATATCATTGTATTATAATAGGTCTATAATAAAAGTATTAATTTTTACAGCAATATATTTTGTCTTATTTCATTTCAAAATTTAATAGATAACACCCCAAAAAATTTATACCCCCCCCCCTCAAAAAAAATTGGATGTAAAATGTTCCTACCCCCCCCCCCCCCCACCCCCCGCTCATCTAGATGCTGCCCTGATTACCCGTAACATTTATTTATATTTATTAAACCTGATTATTAAAATGTTTGGGGTAAATAGGAAATATCCAAGCTTAACTGCATAATCGATGCATGGGTTCAAAATGGGAATGATAATAAAGATTAAATCACATTATTAAAAGTTTTATGATGATGATGAGTCAAAAATAGGGGAGCCACATTTTTTTAATGTTTAAATTGGTATGAAATGTGGTAATCATAACGATAATTGAGATAAGGAACATTTATTTTTTTTATAGTTTTAGCAAAACCAACACCTAAATTTCTAAAAAAATAAAGATTATCGCTTACACGATGAATTAGTATTCTTCTTATATTTTTTAAAAAGATACAAAATTAAAATTGATTTCAATAATGATAAACAAAAATAAAATAAAATTAAGCACATTATTATATTGGATGATTTTGTTTTGTTATACTTACTAATATAAAATAAATTTTAAATATAATTTAACACAAGTCTTCGAATGTTAAATTAAGAATCACTTCTCCATAACAATTCCTTTAAACCAAATTTACTTTTCCCTTAATCACTAACTATCATAATCTTTCACAGAAGCGCCAGGCTAGTAAAATCAGGGTCTTAGAAATAAAATATTTCTCTAGTTTATTAATAACTAGAATCTTATTTCACAAAAGCGCCAGGTTCGTAGAATCCAGGGCCAATAAAATAATAATTTTTTTAGATTATTAATAACTAGATAAAAGCATACTATGGATCATTTAAACAAACATTTAGTAACTTATCATCTTGAAATCATTGATAAATAGACTAAAATTATTTCATGTCATAAAATTTAGGAATAGCAAACCTGGACAAAAATGACCAAATTTTACAAATCCATACTGGGCTAGATTTTTATTAAATTATGGGTACATGAAAATGGTTATATTTCTAGAAGTTTCTAAAGTTTTCTATGCCATATGAAAAAATAGATGGGTCATAAAAAGCACAAATGATAAAATTTATTATTAACATTTTTTTTATGAACTAATTTTTGTGGCCTAAGGGCTAAATTTGGCTATATAATATTAAAATTATTGTTCATAGCTATTTCTTATCATTTATGCGGAAGTACTGAAATATCATATATTTTTTTAAATTTATGCTAGAACTTAAAAATAAGAATACAAAACAAAATAGAAGTTAAAGGAGATCAGGGTTATGGCGAGCCCTAAAAGGCAAACGCAATATTAATTTAAAAATTTTCAGAGGAATTTTTTATACTAGAATTTAAAAAACCCCATATTTATTTGTATATATGTGATTATGATGTGACCCCATAATTAAGAAATTTCAGAACTCTCCTTCTTATTGGAGGTTAGTTTTTAAATTATAACAATAAATATGTTTTATTCTTTATTCTGGGGTAAAGCTAAAATTCCACTGTTTAAAAATCTCACTAGAGGAACCAGTATATCTGGGCTCCTCTCTTCTTGTGGGCTTTTTTATATAAATTTAATGCAAAAGTTTTAGTATTAGAAGCCTCTCTTTTTTATTTTATTATGTGAAAAATGTTATCTTTAAAGATAAAACCAAGGTGTACTAACTGAAATCTTTTGTTATTTAGAAAATGACTACGATAGAATTCTGATGCTTGTTTTATTTTTAATCTGTATAAATTTTAAAATATTCCTTATCTCCAACCCTATATGAATTTTCCATCATAGATCGTTATCTAAAATAATTAGTGTTGTTAAACGGCTCGTTTTGAACCGATTTTTAAAAACGGCTAACTCAATATTTCATCCAGAAAATATTATGCAAGCCTGAAGATTTTGCTCTTAGAATGAACAAAGGTCTAGACATATTTTGTCGAAATCTCCAGGCTTAGGCAATATTTTTCTAGCTGCAAATTGAGTTAGCCGTTTTAAAAATCGGCTCAAAACGAGCCGTTGGAATTTAAAAATATTCATTATCTCCAACCCCTATATGAATTTCCATCATAGATCGTTATCTAAATAAAATATCATTGGGTTAATATTTTTCAATCAAAAGTTTAAATAAAAAAAGGAAATGTATAATATATAAGAAAATAATCTCTATTCTGCATAAGTTAAAAATTTATTCGACGAACAACCTTAAAATAAAAATATCGTTATTCTATGGGGCGATTTTTTGAAATTGAAATAAGTCGAACACCAATTTTAAATGTCAGTAATTATGATTTATAGCTAGCTATCTCTAAAATTAAATAAAATTTTCTTTTTTATTTAAACGAATATATAATACATACGATTATTCCGAGATATATATATACAGAGAATCTTCGCCCTTAGAATAAATAAATCCCCAATGGAATAATTTTACCATAAAGAATTTTTTAAAATTAAAATCCGTTCTCTTTCTTTGAATAGTATTATTGAAATTAATTATTGTAAAATCAATAAAAAAACTTTTGTCACAAAAAATTCATTAACAAAACTTGAAATAAGTTCTTAACTATATTTCATAATAAATTCCAATAAAATAAAATTAAGTTTAATGAAAACGGGGCAGGGGTGACGATATATATATATTAAAATATTTATCGTGGTTTGAAGGTCGAAACATATGATTTAGGATGTTAAATATTTTATCTGATTTATTTATTTATTATAAGATAATATAAATAAATAATATTATATTTATATTTTTTTTAGTCTAAGTGTAAGTTACATATTTCTCTAACGTTATCATTTAAGATTTTTTTTGACATTTCTCTACAATATGATATTATTTCAAAATTTCTGACAAATTCAAAAATAACTAAATTTTATTTCATTCACTTTCGAAAATGTGCAACAAAAACATTATTGTTATGCTAATCGAAATATTTCTCTAATAAAATATAAAACACTAATTTTTTTCTTCACGTTACCAAAATATGGATGTAAGTTAATGATGATAAATTAGTATACATGTTCAAAACCTTGCTCTCATAGTATATAGAATATAAATTTACTATTCTTTTATAACAGATGCAAATTTGGATTTTTTTTTTATTCACTATTTCTTTATAAGTTTTCTTTTGACATTATCAGCAGAGACCGGGGTTGGTATTTCCTCATATTTTAAACTCATAAATGCCATTAATTTATTTTATAATAAATAATATCTTAATTCATATTTCGATTTTAAGACAAATCCTTTTTCTTTTCTTTGGAAATCGCCTAGTTAAAAAGGTAATATGCGGGAATTTTTTAAACTACTAAAAAATAAGCCACAACATTTTATATGAAAGGAACAAATCAAATATAATATTTGAATTTTTAAACCTTTTCAAGAATATATTTGTAAAAATTTTTAATAATGATGTCACGTCACTTAATCTCAAATAAAAAGGAGTATATTTTAAATGAAAATAGGCTTGATTCGATTTTCATCTTGGTGCAGGCATGGTCCTTGATTTATAATGAGTCGCACATTTGATCAAAGTTTCATTCTATGTTAATAATTTCTAATGGTTTGAATGGTATGTCAGACTAATGGCATATGATATAATTACTAGAGATGTTATAAGATACTTTTTTAAAGGAATACAGATACATCGTCAAAATAGATCTAGATACAGATACATTGTTTAAAAATAAATCTGATACAGATACAACGTCTAAAAATGTATGAAGATATTGATACAATTTTACAACAGATACATTTATAACTTTTATATAGGTTGGCTGTATAACCCGAACATAAACAACTCTTATTATGACAGATACGTAAAAAATATTTTTACATTTTGCTCTCATTCAATTCTATCACCATATTTTAAATGGTCAATATCCCTTTTTTATCGTTCTTAAGAACAATAAAAAAAATAATTTTACATTGAACTTACAATTTATTCATTAAAAGTTAACGGAATATCTATAAAATTATTTCAAAAAATTCTAAATAAATTTATTTACTTAAAATAATTTTGTGCATCAATAGTATTGTTTTAATATTAGTGGGTGTCATGGCTAAGCAAGATTTATATATTTCTTTACATGATAAAAATATCCTTCACAATCTTGAACTGATATCTATAGATTTAAATGGGAAATTTTTTTTTTAAGTTTTACTATTTAATACATATTTTTTTTATTATATTCTTAATATTCTTTAATATATTTATTTAAATTAAATGCTCAGCTCATACGAGATAAAATGAATTTTGCATTAAAATATTTTTATTTTAAGTAAATAAGCGTTAGATAAAAGGATATCATATCTTAAAAAGCATTTAAAAACAGAAACCGACACCCCTAAAATAGTATCTAGAAATAGATACAAATATTTTTTTTATAAAAGTGTATCTAGATAAAGTTACTGAGACGACATTAGATACTTTAACAACTCTGATAATTATCATTAATTTAAAATAAGAATAATATAAGATAGTGTACCCATATTCCGATCTAATGACGGGAAATCCTCACTGGCCTCAATGTTCGCATTTTGAAACAATTCCTCCCTCGCCTCTCCATGTAGAATATACCTCATTTTTTAAATATTTGACCATTTTTTATACACCTCCACTCTCAAACAATAAACAAATTCCATAAATTCTTTTTTATTTCACAAGAAACTGAATGTATGAATTATCATTAGAATATTTATGAGAATCTAGTTAAAGATAAAATTTTTTGGCGAAGAATTTATAATAATATTTTGTGTTAATAATGGTTTATTCTTCAAGTAATGAATATCTTCTTGGTTGATATTTCTAGGCAAATCGCCTATCTGTGACGTATTTAACGAGCCCGTTTTGGAGACGAGACGGGATCTGAAGTATAAAAAAAACAAATGCTGGAATCAAATATTGAAATTTTTTTTTTTCAGTTATAGATTTATAACATTTTATATTCATGTCATCATTTATAAATTCAATTAATACATGATCCTAAACTCTTTCTAAATTGGTATATGATTTCCCGTGATATGGAAAGTAAGTTTACATTATACTTTTTTTCATAGTGAACCGTCATTCATATAAGTATATCTTATTTTTGATACTTACCTTACTTTTGTATTGAGTCCTTGTGCGACTCTATAAAAATAAAGAAAAAATAGACTATAAAATAATTCAAATATTCTGTATGGAGAGTAGTGTCGTTAAAATGACAGATTTGGAAAGATTAAAAAAAAGGGTTGATTAAAATTTTAGCCAAAAAATATATTACGCAAGCCTAGAGATTTTTAGATGGCAAATGTATTTGGACCTCTATTTGCCAAATCTCGAAGCTTATATAACATTACTTTGGCTAAAATCCTATTCGGGGTCGTTCTTAAAAATCGACCCAAATGGGGTTTTTTATCATCACTAATAGAGAATCAATTAAATTTTTTTATTCTCCCGTATATATATATATATAAATTAAAACAGGTTTCAGTAAAAGGTTAGGAAAATGTGAATGCTAAGACATTATTTCAAATTATGTTTGTTTTATTACATAGATTATTAAACTATTTTAAATGAATGACCTCTTATTTTATTACATAAATTAAATAAGTTCAATATTATAACAAATTTGTATACATTTTGGAAGATGTTCAAGAATTTTGATAAATTCTCAAAATCCACAAATACAAGAATTTCTGTTTATCGCATTAAAAGCATTCTAATTCATATAATTTGTTTTAGCAGAAATAAGGGAAATCTATAAAATATAAATATAGAATTGCAAAATTATACTTTTATTTATAAATGTATTTTACAATAATTTATAATATTTAAAATTTATATAGAAAAATAAATAGTTCCCTTTTCATTCATTGGCTAAATTTTTTTTCTAATCAGAATCTAAAACTTGATTTTTAAAAAATAAAAAATATTTAGAGATTAATTTTACCTAATCAAATTCTAATTTTTTTTAAATAAGACAAGTGTTAAACCTTTGAATTATGTATTGGTCCATTTTTAAATAAAGTTGGTCCATTTTAGATAACCGTATAATGGTTATTTATTTTTAAATGATAGATGTCAGATTAAATTTAAACAAATCTCATCATTATTATTTGTTTTTAATGATTACACGGCATCGTTTACTTACACCTCGCTGATTTATTTTTAATAAAATTGTATTTCCCCTGAATTGATATTTTTATGTTATACCAATTACCCATAACTTGAGATTTATGTTACATCAAACCCCTACGCTAATATTTGTAATGTTACATCAAGTCACTGATTTAATATTTTTACGAAATTGTCCGTCCTTATAAATCATAAATGCTCCATTAAACCTATGATTCGTTGTAAAAAAATCATGCCAGAAGGCGTATGGGATTATAGCCGATGAACGACTTAAAATGAACAATTAAGTGACTTACGTATGGGATTATAGTAGCTGAAGAACTCTGATTCAAAATGAATCCTTGAAAATATTTTTTTATTAAATATCATTTAATAATAATATTTTTTGGATAACCCGGGCTGTAAAGGCAAATGAGTCATTAAAAATAATTTTAAAAATGTAATATTTCTTTAATGCTATCACGCTGTAAACAAAGTGGGCGTATAGTAGAATCCCATTTATCTAATATCATATGATTTTTTTCTTCAGGTGGCGAAATGATATAATAATGACATGATTAAATTATGTTTTCCAAATAAAGCATCTCATTTTTTACATGGGCTAAAGTACATTTATCTCTTTGCACTTACAACAATAAGATAGCTATATGTTAAAGAATAATTTAATATTTTAAATTTTCCGTCCAAAATATTTCTTCATTTAATATATTATTGATAATTTCTTTCTGGAAAAATATCACTTCTTTAACAGCTGATTTACTCCTTGTATTTTATTAATGATGTGCATCTTGTATCTTGTTTGGATATTCATAATGTAATATAAATTGGCAATTAGTAATTTTCTTAAACCATGCTTTAGAAAAATTATTATATTTATTTATATATTGATATCAAATCAAATCTTTTATTTTTATATTTTAAAATGAAATTCTAGTATTTCAATATGAAAATCTAATATTTCAATATGAAAATCTAATATCAATATGAAAATCTTATATTCTTCATCAATTGACCGACTTGCCAACCCTATGGTATAATATATTAAAAGCTGCCACCTTTCAAAATCTAGAATTCTTATTTTTTATCATTTTTAATAAGTTTATTAATTTTTATTCAGCCAATTTTTTTAGAAATACTAATGAATATGTTGATGTCATTAACGTACCACTTATCTAATAAAAATAGAAACTGTTTAGAAAGTTTCCACAAAGTGTCAATGATGTGTTAAACCACCAGAAAGAGCATTCATTTTAAATAAAAAATTATTTTTATGTTTTATATTTTACCATAAATGAATCAATAAAAATTTAATAAATCTGTGTTTGCATCATATTAGTTTTATGAGGGAACTTACAAGGTTAAAAAATTACTATTTTAAAAATAAATTTAGAAAGATTAATAATATTTCAACCAATTTATAACATTCTTTATCTAAGAATCCTTTGTACATAAAATGTTTTCGGTAGTAGAATAGTATTTAAAAAAATTTCAGATTAGTAATTTTATTTACATTACGAGTATACCTACAAAAATACGAATCGAATAATTGCATTATTCGTATTCGATTCGAATTGAATAATAAAATTGTTCGTATTCGTTTAAATCGAATAATTCATTATTCGTATTCGTACGAATAATAAAATAATTATTCGATTTGATTCGTCGAATATTCGATTCGATTCGAAAATTTTATTAATAAATTAAAAAAGATCGATTATAAAATTTATTTTGTAAAATTTAACTATGGATAAAAGACAAACAAATTTTATTAGTAAGATAAAATAGAAGCATACATATATTAGTATATTTATATATAATGTAGAAAAATAAATATAATATTTATATCATGTATAGAACATATCTGACAACCAATTCTTCAAACACAAAGTTTTTCGAATTGTATCCTCTTTTAGCTCTATATTTGGTTACCATATGCGCTCCAACAGAAATGGAATTTTTTGAGTGCCTACCTACGTCTTATAATATCAACGTTACAACTTTATTAAATAATTTTAAGAAAATGTTCGACGATTATAAAATAAAATATGATGTAGCAATATGTCAACTATTAATACAATCAAATATGTACGTGATTTTTAAACAGACTATAATGCCAATTTCCGAAATTGAAACATAATTAAAAGAAGCGAGAATCACTTCGAATAGAAATCCACTAGAATGGTAGAAACTACAAGGAGATCATTTTCCCGTTTTATCAAAATTGACGAGACATATTGTCAGTACAAGGATCTTCAACGCCATAGCGACTCTTAAGTCTGGGATCTAATATAGAAGATATAATAGTTTCGAAATCTGTTAAATTATAATAAGATATCATTTTCTGTTGAGCATGTCAAAGAGACTTAAGTACTCAATTAATGAAATATAAAATGGGATGACTAGATTAAGGGTAGGATAGGTTTCTCCTGATATAGCAACAGTAAAATCATAAAAGGTTTTCAAGTTTTTATGTATTCTTTCTAAAGCCCATTCATCCTATAATAACAAATAAAAATTAGCATTTAAATATATATAAATACTTCACTTAGTTGTTTCTCTTCAATAATAGATATATCATAACTATTAATAATAACATGATCAATGACCTTTCTCATTGTTATTGCTCTTATCATAGAATATGAGCTATTCCACCTGATTGGTGTATCTAATTTTAACTTTAAATATTTAATAGTTGGATTTTGAGAATTACAAAATTCCTTCATCAATGTAATTTTCTTTAAAAGAATTTTGGATGCTTTTTATATTGCATCTTAATTTCATTAATTGCTAATCTATTTGTTTTATTATTTCTTGAACAACAAGATTTAAAACATGTGTAAAACAACGAATATATGCAATTTTTGATCTGGGATTTTTAATCTTAAGGGTATTTATAAAGGTAGTGTTTGATGTGGCATTGTCACATGTAATAGCTGTTGACCTTATATCTATGTTATAATTATTCTATAAAATGTTTTACATATGTTTTCTCCTGAATGGGAATTTGTAAATGGAATAATGTCTAATAATATAGATTTTAGTACCCATTCATCATCAATGTAATGGCAGGTTAAACCTAAGAATGGGACATTTGTTGGACTTGACCAAATATCTATTGTAAAATTTTTTTGTGATATTGCATTGTTTATTTAATTTTTTTTGAACTCATCATCAAAACATTCATTTATGTATTGTTTTAATGTAGGAATTGAACATATTTGAATAATAGGGTTTAATGCTTTAATAAAACATTTAAATTCATTTGTTGCAAGGATTTTAAATGGAATATTAGATTTGATTAAAAATTTTAATAAATAATGTTTGATATCATTAATGTTGTGCATATGATTATTATTTAAATCATTATTAAAATATGATTCAATAAATTTATTATTATAGGTTTTTTGGGGGAATCGTTTGTTATGATTAATTAAAGTTGAAGAAGTTTTTTTTACACTTTATTTCAACCCGACAAATCTTATATCTAGCAGTTTCTGTTGATGCTTGGTAAATATAATGTTTCCATATATCTACATTTTTCCGTCCTCCCGACTGTATAGAATTTAAAGTGGATGAATATTGGCTTTGTTCTATATTGCTTTCTGATTCAGAAATATCCATTATACCAATGGGATGAATATCTATTTAATTAATTAATTATTATTGTAATAGAATTTGAAGGTGGATGAATGGCTTTGTTCTATATTGCTTTCTGATTCAGAAATATCCATTATACCAATGGGATGAATATCTATTTAATTAATTAAATATTATTATAAAATTTATAGCATGGCCAAATGGGAAATAGGTTAGTCAGTAAAATATATGTCAAAATCATCATATCCTATAATTATAATATCAGAATTTATTGTATAATAAAATAAATTTAAGCTTGATTGTTTTGTTGTATTTAAATAAAAATAATATTATAAAATATTATTTAACTATACTTCAGAGTTAATACTATCACCAAATGTAGATGAGATAATAGTTTTAAAAAATTTATCACAAAATGATAACACATATTTTAGTGAATTTTGATATAAGTTTAAAAATAGTATCACATGTACTTATATTAAATTTTATACAGATTTACTTATAAAATATTTTTTACAAAAATGATTTGGATTTATAGGTTTTAATATAAAAACTGTTCATAAAATTTATAAATTACCCCCAACATTATTTAAGTTAATAGATTATTAGTACCTTGTATATGAGTACAAATAATTGTAGGGAATAATAGATTGTCAAAAAGCTATGCAATCTAAAAATACAAAACTCACATCTAGCAATATTTTACAAATAAAGTGGTTAAAATTTAGGAGAAAAGTAAAATTTATGATTTCTCTATCATCAAACAAAGGAGAAATATCTGCATCGCCCGTCATTCTAGACGGGATAGCTCCTAGTTTATTATAATTGTGTATGTGTTATTAATTCCATAAAATAAATACCTTCGTCCATAAAAGAATTTTCTGAAGTTGTTTTGGATTATGAAGTTATATAAAATTTTTAAAATATAAAATGCTTCTTCAATATTCCACTAAGAAATTTTATTAAATAAGAATAATTTCAAGTAATTCCTAATTATCTAATATATATATAATTATTTTTCAACATTTATTAATATAATACTATAAATTATTTTAGTCGAATGATAGAAAAAAAATTATTCGACGAATAATATATTTTCGTTATTCGAATTCGATTCGTATTTTCGAATCGAATAATTGTATTATTCGTATAAGTAAAATACGAATCGAATATCGAATAACAAATAATTCGTTTTAGATATAATTACGAGGAGTTGAATACTATTTTAAAATGTAGTCATAGCTCAAAACCTTTATTTATTAAGTTTTTTTTAACTATATCATATAAATAATTTAATTTACAAATTACAATAAAAACAGAAAATATATTTATAATCGGTGAATAACTTGATTTTTGAGATTTTTTTCCTAATAAAATAGGCAAAAAAGGGTAGAAAATAAAATGATAATAAAATAATGGCGAGTAAATATATAATATCTTATAAGCGGATTAACAAAATTTTTTATTTGTCACGATTGATTTACTGTAACTTCTTAAAATTGATCTAATACATAACATATAATTGTAAAGCAAATTTTAGTTAAATGTTTTATTAATTAAAAAAATATTCGTAATAGCGAAATTATTATTTAGTTAGTTGTGCAGGGTTGCCTGCCTGATTTATAAAAGAATGTTTATTTTTTACAAAATAATTTATAAAGATTTGTTTAAGTTAGTTATATAAATAAAGACACATTTAATTTACATAGAAATATCATACCCAAAGACCATGTAAATAATATCTCAAATATGAGTAAAAAAATTCAGTCATCGCAAACAATAATTCGGGCCATTTTCGTTTGAGGCACATTTTTTTACGGATGGTGGAATATTTTTATTGTTGTAAATTTCATTTATGATTACTGTTCACATTATAGTGATTAACGGTTTTAGCACTTAGCGAATTTGGATTGGAATTGCTGTTACTCATTATATTGGGAGGTATTAAATATCCCGTCCGATGAAAATGAATGTTTTGCCATTTTCCATCTTTCTTTTGCCAAATCCTCGTCTCTTCGGATTGTTGGGTATGTGGAGATCCACTTCTAATTTTTTTTAAATTTAAATTTAAATTTGATTAATATTTAGTATTTTACTTAATATTTAGTATTTTACTATTTAAAAATTGTAAAATAGTTTCTATAAATATTAATTTCTCCTTTTTTTCTTCTTTCTTCCCCTTCCTCATTTTATGTATAATAAATAAAATGGGAATTGAGAAAAAGCCTGTGGAAACTACATAAAAAAGCGGAGAAACTAAAGACTGTGAAAATAAAATTGTAGGAATAAAAGTATTCGTTAAATAAATCGGTATATACTATATTTTTAAAAATAAAATTAGCAAGGGTAATATTTAATGTCAAGAATTTTATATTTTTTGTGCATTCCAGGAGTCAGTAAAATTTATGGGGTATAAAAAAACTGTTACCTATGTAGAGCTCAGAAAGTCCTGAATTCTGGATAAAATAGGGTGAGGATAAAAATTAAATAAATCAGACTAGAATTTATTTTTTTATAAATCAGACCTGGTGATTAATTGAAGATTTTTATTTTAGAAAATGAGCCTGGCCGAGCAAAGTAAATAAAAATTTCGGGTCGGGCTACACGAACTTATCGGGTTTCTCTATTTTGTGGATGGCATGTTACACGATGATTAACAATCAATAACGCTAAAAGGCATTATAACCCCCTCCCCGTTTCCCCTAACAAAAAAATCTCGGTTTGATAAACCATTTAAATAAAGAATAATATTTTGATCTATATTTTTTGGCCGCTGATAAATTAACAAACCTCAATTTGGAAAATATACAAAATCAACACTTTTTAAAAAAAAGAAATTGTAACTAATTTTGACAAATGATATATCGGTGAAGAAAATCTATAAAACTTGCCATATCCGAAAAACAGGCCAGTGTCCGGGTTGAGTTAAAAAAATTTGGCTAAGCGGGGAAACTGGTGCAAAGTATTTTTGGCAAAATCTATATTTTTGTTTACTGGATATATTCCATATTACAAAAGGATAAATTATTTAAATAGTTTATCTCATTAATTTATTAAATGGATTTTTTTTATCGCTTCTGTATATTTTTAAAAGGGTATCAACGGTTTGCAGTGAGATCGACAATATATTATTATATACTTTATTATAATTTTTAAGACAAACTTATCGATATATTGGGTTAAACGAATATAGGCGATGCACGATATTTCATCGGAAAGGAGGTGAACGTGAGGATTTAGGATCGTGGTGTTTATGGATTTCGAATTTTTACCTAATACTTTAAAAAATATATATCATAATTATTTTAATATAAAATTTAATGTATTTAATATCTGGTCAATGAGTTCAATATTTTACTTACTATATACAATATATTATATAAATGTTCAAAATCTAAATTTATACCATTTTCAAAGTAGAATTTATGAAAGTCGGTTCCTTCGACTAAGTAGCCCATAGCTTCTGGTTCAAATGCAGTTATATTTGGATCACATATTTTGCTGTATATATGTATAAAAAATATATAATATGCTTTAATTTATAATTTAATCCACAAAAAGATCTCGAAAATTAAAAAAAATTAATTTTGATATAACCTGATTATACAATAAATATAGATTAATAACTTAATTAAGACACTTACAAGCGTATGACAAGAATTATAAATCTAAAAGGCCTTTTTTGAATTTATAATTTTGTAGCTCTGTTTTTTAATATGGATTTTGAATTATTCAATTTCAAAATTATAAATGTTATCACTTTCATTCCTGCAAGAATAATATATAAATTTGATAAAGCATATTCATTTGCGTTTTAAAATAAAGATTATAACTTGAGCTAAATAAATAAAGTTTTGTATCTTTTATCAAATCTCCGTCGTATTAAATTAAAGATACAACCACACCCATGTGTTCTCTAATATCTTAAATTCAGGAACTTAACCGTAACATGCCAGAATTTAGAGGAATGGAAATATGATTTTAATTTTTTTTATGGCGTATGATAAAAATGAGAATATAATAAAATACCAGATAGGTAATTCCATGATAAATCGACTGAAATAACCTGATTTTCAAAGACTATTTTTAAAATAGATGAAACTTGGCCTGAAGGTTAAATAGATTGTGTATTTTATAAAAATTTTAATGCTCTAGCTTAAATATATCCCGAGATATGGACCTTCAAAATTTGATGAGAGCCTTTTCTTATAACGAATCTCAAATTACTCAAAATATTTTTAGTACAAAGTAAGAAATTATATGTCATTTTGTAAGCCCTTAAAATTCTCTTTAACAAAATGTAAAAATTGTTTTAAAAAAAATCTTCAGTGTCGTTATATTTCCGGTAAAGCTAAAAATTATTTTGAGAAGGGCGTAATTTGAAACGATAAACCTCATCAAAGATATTTATTACCAATATATTAAAATATTTAAGTAAAAATATTATCGGAGAAAAAGGAATTTAAATTCTAATGTTTTTATAATTTTATGAATAAATAAATCAATTATAGGTAGCGTTATTTTTAAATTATAATGTAATTTATAAATAAAAATATGCATTATATATTATAGATATTAATATTTCTATAAAAGCTAGAAATTTCTAAAAAATACAATTTTTTTACTTTAATAAAAAGAAAATATAATCTTTCTCTATAATTGATTTTTTATTCCATTATAAAATAAAATTTAAATTTTATATTCTCCGTTAATATTTTTAATAAAATATTTAAATATACTGACAAGTGACAATAAACATATATGATGAGTTTCATCGTTTTAACGCCCTTTAAAATTGATTTATTTATTCTTAAAATTACAAAAAACTAAATTTATATATTAAATTATATATTGGTAATAAACACATTTCTTGAGTTTCATAGTTTTAAATAGTGCATTCTTCAAAATATTTTTTTTTAATTTACCGGAAATACAACAATGAAGATATTTTAAAATAAATTTTGCATTTTCAGGGCTATAAAATGTTATATAATTTGATTTGTGACTTGAGACCAAGAATATTTTGAGATTCGTTAATAAAGGAAAAGGCCCATATAAAATATACAATCTATTTAACCTTTATACCAATTTCATCCATTTTTAAAATGGTCGTCCGAACCACTGAGTGATTTGTCATGAATTTAACCAGATTCTAGGGCATGCGAGAGGTGTTGATAGGGTTAAGAGACAACCTGTCAACCAGGGTTGGCAAGTCGGTCAATTGACCAGTAAAATTCAGTCAATTGACCGGAGGAGTATTTGACCTGTCAAATACGGTCAAATACTTTAAAAAATTTAAAGGAAAAATAAATTGAAAATATGTTTAAAAAAGGGAAAAAAGATGTAAATACATGTGATCACAATGTTTGCTTATTTTTTGTGTCCACAATATAAAGAGGAGAACTCACAAGTATGTGATATAATTCAAGAATTAGCTCTTTTACAAGGTAGTGATGACCAAAATATTTTAAGTGATATAATTAATTTCAGAAGCAAAATCAGCATGTTTAATATAGTCAATTATGCGGAAAGTAGTAATTTCCAGAAACAATCAATTCCGACCTCTAGTTAATAGATTAAACTTTGTCCACCCTGCCCATTAAGAGACTAACAATTCCTAGTTCTACTTCTTCTTTAGAAAGAAATAGGTCGATTAGGGTTAATATTCTTATGAAAATGGAAATCGATTGAAGATCTAAGACATCAGGAAAATTGATTAAAAAATATTAAAGAAAATGATAATATTGAATATGAATCAGAACAAGAACTCTGCTACAGATAGCTACACGTTAGTTATTGAATGACAATGAATTTAAAAAATTTATATTATAGATTTCATTTTACTATTTATATTCAAAATAAAGTTAATGTTAACTTAAAAAAAACATATATTTGAATTTGACCGGTCAAATATCGGCCAATTGATCGAAACGTATTTGACCGGTCAAATGCACAACCCTGCTGTCAACTAAAGAATAATTTAAAAGCCATAAGGATATGAAGGCTGTGATTAAAAAATGAAATGGAGAACGAATATCAAGACCTTGTTTGGAAGGTGGAAAAGACTATAACTAGGTAAGATGGGTAAATTATAAGTTGATAGTTTACCCAAACTGTTGGATTTGTGCTATGTGGCATTTAACTAATAGATCGGTATACGAAGGGATTGTCCTATTGTTTAAAATAACTTTAGGGCTTGAGGGAAACATAGGTCCCAGAGCCTACCGGAAAGAACAAAAGGTTGTTCAATTACTTATTTATAGTACTGTAAACATTTCTAAAAAATCGAACGCGTTCAAGTTCAACGTTCATTGACAAAAATCGAACGCGTTCAAGTTCGTTCAAAATTTTATGACAAATTTAATTTAATATAAATAAATATCTTATATTTTTTAACACAATATATTAGCTATATTACAAAATAATATAGTTTTATTTTGATAATATAATTATAAATACAATGTAATAGAGGGAATAAATTTTTCTTATTAAATTTTAATAATAATTATTTTAAAATTTTTATCTGATAGACAGGAACACTTGGCAGTTAAGTTAATGCGGCATTAGTTATACTAAAAACGCGCTCTACAGGGGCAGATGAGGGGATTGCGGTATTATACTTAATAAACAACGTGGAGAATTTATTAAAAACATTTATTGTTTTGTCCTTTGCTACAAAAATTGAGATAATTAATTATCCTCCAATTCATCCTTTACTCGCGAAAAAAAGAATATCTCGAAATTAACAGTTCTTGCAATATCATTTCTAGGGTTTTCAATGCATTTCTTCAATAGCGTTATAAATTTATTTTTTATAGGTTTGTTCTGTGGAAGTTTTATCCATGGCCATTGAAGCTTGAATATTGGATTTATAATTGCAGAAAGAACATATTGATCTTCATATATATGTTCAAATCTTTAAAAAAAATAAAATATATATGTAATTAATTTGATAATGATAGGTTTAATACTTTTTATTAATCCCATTGAATAATGCATCTATCAATAGTTGACCATAATTTAACCACTAATTATTTTAATTTTAAAATAACTATCGATAATGTTGGGGTCAAATAACCTTAAATGTATTTTTTCTAAATTTAATGATTTTACTTAGTTATATTATATAAAAATGGTAACTAACGGTATCTCGGGAAAATTTTTCATCTTTTTTTATAAATTTATTTTTTATTTATTTTTATTTAATATAGCTTTTTTAAAAGACCATAATTATAATATTATAATGGAATATCTTATTTTTACCGATAAAATTTTTAAATGATATAAATATGTATAAAACTATTTTTGATTATCAGTGTTTATTCAAATAAATTGGTTATTTATCTAGAATTTGATTGAAAATTTCAAGAAAAAATCTTAATTCTCTAGTATATTATGATTATATTTTTATCTTAAATATTTAGTATTTGATTCAAAATTTTAAATTAAATTGAAAATTTTTAGAATGAATCTTAAATAATTGAAAATTTCAAGAAAAACTCTTAATTCTCTAGTATATTATGATTATATAGTTTTAGAAAATTTAAATTTTAAGAAAAAAATCTTAAATATCTAGTATTTGAAAAATTTTAAATAAATCTTAAATAATTGAAAATTTTAAGAATAAATCTTAAATAATTGAAAATTTCAAGAAAAAATCTTAATTCTCTAGTATATTATGAATATCTAGTTTTATCTATTTTTTTATTTATTAATAAAAAAAATAAATAAAAATAAAAAAAATATTTAAAAAAAAACAATAAAAAAAATAATAATATCGAAAATTTTCCCGAGATACCGTTAGTTACCATAAAAATTAATAAAATCAAATGTCGTTTTAAATTGGAACTTGAAGATATTGAAACTGATATAATACTTTTTAGGCACATTTTACATTTGGTAAGTATTGAATTAGTTCCTTCAATATAGGATGTTACGTTAAAATATTTATTATATTTGGGCCATGGTAATGTTCATTTATCTAATTTTGAATCTTCAGAATCAAATAATGATGATGAAATAATAATATTTAAATTAAAATATAAACAATAATATTCAATGGTGTGTTAAAAAAATTAAAATGTGAAAAAGGAAAAACAGTTACGTGTCTTCCAAATACCCCAAACAATCATAGTTATCGCATTAAATTATATTTAAACTATGAAGTGTTTTACAATTAATCAAAATGAAATGACACACTATTTATTTCAATTCTGGTTGTGTTTATCTTTTTAATATCCCCAAAAATCTGTTTCAAAAGTAGTATATATTATTATAATAACTGGCCTTATGCCCTTATCTATTGAAATGAGCTAAATTACTAACAAAACTATAGTTGAAAATTTTTATATTTTTTCTTTTTACTTTCAAATATACTAAATATGAAAAGCTATTTATTTAAGCATGTTAGAATTATTAAAAAAACTAATACTTCATTTGTTCGCTTCAAATTTATATGTTTATCTGTGTCTTAGTTTAAAATGTTTTTTATTGCCAATAAA